TTTTTTTTTTTTGAAAAAATGCACAAAATGAATAAAAATAACACTATTAATTTTGCTCTAAATAATACTTCGTCTTATAATATTGACCTTATACCTTTTAATTATTATTACTATTTGCAGTGATGCGATTGAACTGATCAATTGCAATCCATATCTGTTGTATCGCATTAATCAAAAATCATTTTTTTTTTTTCTGGTTTGAAAACAGTTTGCAGGGAGATGGTTGAAACGAAAATTAGAGGAAGTAGAGAAAAGAACTGTTCAACGATATCTATGAAATAACCCATTTACCTAACCAATCCAACAGACAAACATTATAGTTGCATAGCGTTGGACAACAGATACGTTTTCGTGCTCTATTGTGCATATTACAATCCAAATCTTTTTCGCACCATGAAACGTAGCGATGATTGGTCATACAGCTTATTGGCAATGTTTCCGGTGATGGACAATTTGGTGGTGGCTTTGCCAAAAGATAATCTGCAATTGTACAACAGTTTTTTCTTTTACGTTAGAGTATATATAATAACGACAACCATAAATGTGATGATATATCCAGTCCAGCTTTTTTTTTTTTTTGTAATATTCAGCTTATCTTATACCAAAAAACCACTTAAACAATGACAATTACTCCTTTTACTGTCTTGATCTTAGACTAGTTAATCGATCTATGCTTATTGCTAGACAACGATAACACTAAAAAATGAATATTGCTCAATATGAAAATTCCACTACTGTCTGCAGCGGCAGAGAAACTTAACAGCCCTAAAATTTTGTGAAAACAAGACTTTCTTCTTTGTTTCTGAAGCGGAGGGCGAAAAACCAAAAAATTTTGGTATTTTTAGATCGTGAACGTTAACAGAACATTAAAAACACTGTACTATTGTTGTGAACCATTTCAATTTTACTATACTTCTTTTTTTTTTGACCTCCAACACTTTTTTACTGCAGTTCAAAAAAAAAACGATAATTTTTTCCGTTTTTTTAATTAACTATCAATTAACGTGTATACTTGCTGGCTTTTTTTTGTGTCATCAACAAGAACTGTTTTGCTGGCGTTGATGACATATCTTAGTTGTCGAATGAAAACTAAAATGAACATTTCAAAAATTCAACGTTTTCTTGTTTTGTTTTTGCATGTTGGTTTAAAGAGTACAGTAATATAGAGACATCATGCGTTGTTGGGTTCAGCTGAAATCAATATACTGAGCCAAGTTCTGTGTAGGAGAAGGTAAAATAGTGTTGAGCAGCTATCCACTATGTTCACTTAAACAACCCTTCTCTCAAAATAAATTATCATCGACACAGGATGATCAAAAAAAGATTGTTTTTTTACTGCAACTATAACTCTTCGCTTAGCAAAAATAAAAAAAAAAAGCAAAAAAAGGAAAACAGTGTGAAAGTTAAAAGTACTTTACAAAACGATAAAACCTCTATGTTGCATTTCTTGCCCCTAGCTTTTTTTTTGACCTCTATTTCTCCTCTTTGATTCTTTTACGTACAGTTGGCTTTTGGTTCAAACAGAAGAACACGCACACACATACACACAGATACACATACATACAAACATATATACTCTAAAAAACTGGTCACAGTTATGACGTTAAAAAAAACATTTAAAAAAGCAGTTCATTAAATAAAAACTAACAGTTGGTGACTTGTTTTGGTGCCCGAACTCGAACACATACATTGTAGTTGCATGGAGTTGGACAGCATCGTTCTGATGGAGCCATACGACAATCATAATCGTAAAAGCACCAATTGACACCGGGCTAAAAACTGCCACCAGTTAGTTTCAACAACAATTGGCTAGTTAAGTGCAAGGTTGAAGACGAAGATGAAGAAGAAGATGATGATGATGATGAACATTAACAAGCAGAAAAAAAAAAGTCACTTTTATTAACATATTGGTGTAAATGTAACTTTTTTATTCTGGTTAAATGTCTAAGTACTTATTGATAACTCGTTTCT